AGCCATGATTTATCCTTTTCTTCTTTAATTTTCAAGTTGCGTGTTTAAACACGGAGACTAGAAGTATCCAGAAAATTTTCATTTATCTTACTCTATCTTCCTTTTCCTTATTGAGCATGGAGATACTTTATAGTCAAGTCTACGATACAATCTAAGGTGCAGGAAAATGGCTTCTATAGAACTTTCAGGAAATGCCCAGCATGGATACTCAACAAATGACTGGTTTTTGAAAAACTTTTGAAAAATGCTGTACAGAGATGTCACATGTCTCAGGTACGCAGAGGACTTTGGAATGATTTGGAAGTTGTAGAGTGAAAAAAGATATACAGCATCAAGTACAGATTCTGTTCTGAAAAATGAAATCTCATGCCCCCTCCACTATCGGTGGCCAGGTCCTGAGGTCTTTGTTTGGACAAGGCTTGTCTTCCTCAATACAAGCTGCCAACTCGAAGTCATCAAGTCTTAAGCAGTCCAGAGCTGTGTTGTGTTTGTTTCACGAGCTTTTTTAACTTAAAAGGTTCCAAGTTTTTGACATCTCATATTGATTTTCTGGCTCCTTTTGGAAGAAAATCTAAGGTTCTGGCAGCCCTAAGCCCACTCATGTCTAAGGAAGAGAACCTCACTGTGCAGTGCCAGGGCCTACAGCATCAGCACGACCCAGGAACTCAGAAATACAAAGGTTTGGGGTCTCTAGGGTAGTTGGGCCTGATGCTGGGGCTGCAGTCAGGCACTCTGTCTAAATATTCAATTAATTACTTAATGATTTTCATTTTTTTTAAAATTTAATTATTTGAAAGGCAGAGAAGAAAGAGGGACATACAAAGAAATCTTCCATCTGCTGATTCATTTCAAAAATTCCTACAACATACAGAGCTGGGCCAGGCCTAGATCAGGAGCTCAGACATTAAGCCTGGCTTTCCATGTAAGTGGCAGGGCTTCAAGTCACTGAGCTTGCAGCCGCTGCCTTGCAGGATGTGTGCTATCAGGAGGCTGGATAAGAAACAGGCAGCTGGAACTGACAACTGCCTCTCCATCCTGGGATATCCCAAGTACCTGCCACTTTAAACACTGTTCCAAAAACTCACTCTATACACTGTGATGCAGCAAGCCTCACAGGTGATGCTGAAAGGTACCTAAGTTTTAGAACCGCTACTCCCAGATAGTGACTGGCAGGAACTCATCAGTAGGCTACACTCTGTAGAACTCCCAACATGGATTGGGAGGCTGCTACGATGCTCCCACCTCTACCCCACTCCCAGTCCTTCCTGCCTCACCACTGAGCGATTCGCTTATGAATATACCCGTTCCTGCCTTACAGAATCCCACTCCTACAGCCATCAGCCAGCCTCTGCCATCTCCGACACTTATGGACTGCCCTTCCCCCTGTGTCTGCTCCAAGAGCCAACGGCTGGCTGAGCAGGGGCAATGATGGAGTACAATGGCACTCTTTGTTAGTGGAGCTATCAGACGGGGCCAGACCTGGAGAGCTAAGGCTCTTCTATACTGTCTGCTGGGAGAGTGCAGAGACTGTGCTGTGCTCCCAACACCCTTGGAGCTGAAGACTCAACAAGTGAGATGTGGCAGCTGTGCCTGGGTGTGTGTTCTGCTCCAGGGTCTGCACTGGGAGATGAGGAGTTGGAATTGAGTAAAGAGAACTCCTCTCCTGCACGAGGTTGAAGACTGGAGTTGTGGGCTATTCAGGGACAACTCAGTCACGGAGGAAACCAAGAAGCAACCAGGCAACTGGGGTGTGCCCTTGACGAGACCCCCCCGTCCAGGAGTTCCTGAGTTTCACCTCTGTTTTTTTTTTCTTGGCCTAGGAGGCAGTCACTTGTACCACAGGACAATATCTCAAACAGTTTGAGGAGTAATAGAATTAAAATTATAATTTTAGTTCGGTGCATAAAATTGTTTTGGTGCCAATATTTTTGCTTTTTCGTAATATGTGACAAATGTGCATTAGTAAACAATAAATGAATTTAAAAAAAATTGGCACCAAAATAAGCTCAAATATTTTTAATTCCATTTTTTTTTTCCAGAAAGTTTTTAGTATACCCTTGTGCTGCTTATTTTTTCCATCTTCCTGTGTTTTCATTTCCTTGGTTGGGATTTCTATCCTTATTCTGAGTCAATGGCCAAGGGAACCACTGGGAAGTAAAGGTAGGAGAGTGGGAAGGATGCTCCTATTCTCCTCCTATACTTTGCAGTTCTAAAGAGGGCGGGGTATCCAGTGCAGGTGGGATTCCCAGTGGTAGCAAAAGCAATGTGTTCATCCGTCCTCAGGGAAGCAGGAGGGGTGAGGAGACTCACTCCTCTCTCGGAGAGTAAACTGCAAACAAACCATCTGTTTAATAAATACTTTCAAAAGAAACACTCCTTGCTGGAGGGCAAGATGAGATGGATCCTAAGGGTATAAAGGCATCAGGAAATCGTGCTGTGCAACAAACTTATGGTTGTCATTTCATAGCAAGAGATAACGGCATTTTAGCCCAATGACAGACGGAAAAGATGAAAGATGGAGTTTTCTTCCAATGTTCAACACTTAGAAGGTTCCCTGTCTAATGGAATTACTTAGAAACTCAGTTCTAAGAGAGTTGGGCAAGAATAAAGCCTATGCAAATCTGGAATAACATCTTTGAGAAAGCTTTAAGTGCTGGGTCTGATTCTAAATTTTTAATCTATGTTATGGTGGTAATTGAGCATGTTTGCTTAGGTGTCTGTTTTCTGTGCTCAGCCCACAAAGCGGTCAAATTCCCTCTCTCTTACCCCCTCCCCACCTGCTCTATTCTTGCACATGAATTTCCATGTGACATACGATACCTCTACTGCCTAATCCTGATTTATCTGTTTGTTTTTTCCTGCCACGCTGGCTCTCAGAGGGAAAGGCTTTGCTTATCACCGTACCCACCATGCTGGAAATGTGGCCGGCACCGAGAAGGCACCTGCCCAACAAGTGAGTGAATGAATGAGCTAGAATCCATCTATAAACAATTCCTTCTGGAGACATCTGGCAAGCTCAGGTGTCAATTAGACATTCTGCACAATTTGCAGAATTTGGTTTTGGCATTGTTCATGGCATCAGGCACCTCAGCCTCAGAGAGAAACTGGAAAATGGGATGTTGACAATTAGAAGGAATGGAAGTCAGTTTTCAGAGTAAGAGGATGTTTGCAAATCTTAATTTTCTGGTTGAGCAATTGCAGTAGGGGTAAAACCCTCTACGCTTCTATCACAGCCAGGACTGGCAAGAGACATCGCATGGCATCATTAAATATACCAGGGACATCGAATAGTTGTGGAAAAATCCCCACAGGTGCTGTCCTGATGGGGACTATTATTCGGGCTCATAAATAAAAGCTCTCAGGAAAATTGGAGGGTATTAATTCAAAGAGAGGAGGGCGTTGGTTTTTCATTTTAAACTTAACTGCATAAAGACTTACTGCAATTTAACCTTTCTGAAACTTCTGCTCCCTTTCATTAAATACCTCCCTGAAAGTCACTGACATTTATTGACAATCTGTAATATCACAGATTGGTCATCTTTTTTTAAAGGTACGGTTTCACCTACGGAAAGAGATTTTTCAAAGTAGTTCACAAATATTTCATATTTGTGTTTATTCATCCAAACACCCACTCATATGGTGATACTCATGTGTGTAACCACATGATACCAACAGGGCATTGGGATAACAACTTGTGCAGAGCAATCTAATATTCTTACAGATAGTGTCTCACTGAATTGAATCCACGCAGCCCAAGTCACACTGTGGAACCACATGGAAACATGAGTCATGATGTGGAAGTGATTAAGTCTGTCAAACACACAGGTGAGGCAGTAGTTTCTAAAGGCTTTAAAGATCCAGACATGACAATGCACAATAAAATATTGATCCTAAGAGGATACATATATGCTGTTCAGATGTCAAGTTGTCTGTGATTCGTATCTTTAATTTTGACTCAATGAATTTATTTCACAGGGAGAAAGAGAGAGATGGAAAAACAGAGACAGGAAAGGGAGAAAGGAGGAGAGAAGGAGGGAAGGAGGGAAAGAGGGAGAGAAGGAGAAAAAGGGAGGGAGGCAGGGAAGAGAGGAGAGAGAGAAAAAAAGGAAAAGAGAGAGCGCCTCTTCCATTGTTGATAATGTCTGAGCCTGGGTTCGGCCATGGTGGGGAGCCTGGAATTAAATGGAGGTCTCTCATATGAGTGACAGCGACCCAGCCTCTTGAGCTTTTACTGATGCCTTCAGCAATCTGCATTATCAGGCATCTGCAGCACCTTAGCCCCTAGGCCAAACACCAACCTGCTATCCTTAACTTTTAGAGGAAATTATATGGATCATTGCTAGTAGAAAGACAGTGAAAGAAAATTCTGCTCAAAATGGGAGTCAAAAGGTCCAGATATTCAGATGATTGTCTGCTACATTGCACTCCTATTCTAGTTTTTTTTTTTTTTTCTGTGTGCATTTGAAGGACTGCTATCTTAGATCAGCAACTCCTCATGGAAGGGTTAGAGCCAATTCAGCTTCTTGTTACAGTTTTTAAAGGTTAAGTGGTTACTACATGGAGGGTGATTGGCTAGGTGTTATGCAGTCAAAAGGAGGTTGAAAAGGGTTTGAACATTTCTCTCTCTAGCACAGGGTTATAAAAGATAGATGGCTGCAATTGATGCAGAGATGTGACCCAAAATAAAATTGACTTGAGATGAATTGACTTCAGGTGAAGTGCAATGTGGTTTCTGTCTGTATTTTTCTTTACAAAGGAATTATACCTAATGCTTAGTTCCAAATGAAAAAGTTCTCCATAATTTAAAGTAGATGTCATTCTTGAGGAAATGTTTAAATTGCATCTACATTGGAAGCTAAATTATTTTTAGATGGAATTTTGGCATTTGTTTAAAAAAGTATGATAAATGGTTCTATGATTTAAAAAAATCAGTTTTTCATTGGCATCAGCATAGAATCTCAGGGATTCAGATCAAGAAAACGAGGTTGCATGCAGCATACCTTGGCCACTTCTTCTTGGAAAGCCACAAGATTCAAATGGGAGATGTTGACCAGGTCAGGCCCATACACCACTGTTATCATGCGATGCTCCAGCCGCCCGATGTTGCCCACGTCCAGGAGTTCACGTAATTTGGGGTCCTGCAAAATAAAGGTTGTGAAATATTAATCAATAACTAGAGATTCCAACATAGCTCCATCAACACGTTTGTCTTCTGGGAGTGTGTGCTGTGATGCAGTTTGAACTGCTGCTTGTGACTTGCCATCCCATATCCAAGGGGCCAGTTTGAGTCCCAGTTGCTCTGCTCCCAGTCCATCTCCTTGCCAATGTGCCTGGGAAAACAGTGCAAGAGGGCCTTAGTACCTGAGCACCCGCCTCTTGTGTCAGATACTAGGATGCAGTTCTATGTCCTGGATTTGGCCTGTTCCAGACCTTCCTGCTAGGTCTATTTAGGGAGCGAATTAGCGGACAGAAGCTCTCACCACCTTAACCCTCTTCTCTCTGTCACTCTTTCAAATGAAATAAGTAATCCTTAAAAATTCTAAAATAGTTATGTTCTATTCTTACAAAATTGTAAGAGTTGATGCTACACACCCCACCAAGTGGCCTAGAGAGTGGAAACAACTTGCTTTAGGCCGTGGAAAGGGATGTGCTAGTTCAGGACTATGGCCTTCATTCGATGGCTCTTTCTGTCACCCTGTCATTTGGCAACACATGTTTAGGTGTTAATAGTTCTCCCTTCAAGCTCTCCAGTTATCCCAAGGGTTGCAGACTGAAATCAAAATTCTCCATCCTCCTTCTCCATTCTTGCATACATGAAGACAAAAAACGGGGTGCCTGTGGAGTCAAAATCCTACCAAGCTATCCAGGGTTGCAGCAGAAACCTAACCCAGTCTCGCAGAACGAGCTTCATCCAGCAAAGGGCACCCACAGAAGGGCTCAGGTGGCAGGCTGAGCCAAAGAACTCACGGGGAGTTGGAGATCTGGAACTTGGGTAATCCCTGCAGAACTGGTACCCTCTGGAAGATCCTGAGTGAGCATCCCTCAGACATACAGTCTTTCTGGGAAAAAAAGAGGCTCCCAAACATTCAGAGCTCAAAGTCAAACCAAAAATAGGCCTCAATTTGGCTAAATTTATTTTCTTCCCAAAGGACAGACCCTGGAGGACTTCTTAGTCCATGCAGCAAATTAGCATCAAATCAATCACTTAGCAAATTTGCAGCCAGTTTCTGAGCAAGGGCTAAACTCACATCCTTATTTACTTAGGGAACTTCTGGTTCAACAGCAGCTGATGACTTAGGCTGGTTATTCTGATCTCCCCTCTGAGGTTTTCACACACACCATCCTTTCAAAGGCAAAGTTGGTTTACAAAAGCCAAGTGAAAAAACAAACCAACCCTCTGTGGCTTAGTTCATTTGCTACCATTAATGTTTTCAGTGAGTAAAACTTTCTCCTCTCTTTTTTTTCCTTTGGTCAGGATAAAGAGGAACATTTTCAGGTAAGTAATGGAGACAGGAAAGCCCACTGGAAAGCTTCACCTGATCTAAATGCAGTCTTAAGTCAAATAATGAGTGGAGAACTTAGAAAGTCCATTAGGCCTCAGAGAAAAATCAAATGCTACCCCCCAAATCATCAATTTACATCACCCAGGAAAAAAAAATACAGCATCAATCACACTCAATAAGCAGTAATAGGCAAACTGTCAGCATTCTAGAATGCATGAATGATCAAAGGAGAATGTCTAGAAAGAACGGATGTTATGTGAAGGGTAATTAAGTAGCAATACCAGCTGCTCTGGGAAATGATGAATTCATTGCATCATAGATTCTGGACACTATTGAGGCAAGGGTAGAAGATACTTGATTAGTGCTTATAATTTTGTTTTGCATAGATTTAAAAGTCAAATATGATTCTCAAAATGTCCTGATAGATGTAATCATGAATCAAAAACATTCAATCAGTTAATACAGAGTCCTTCAATCTTCACTTGGAAAACACTGGGAGATGAACTGAATTTCTTTTTCTCCCTTCCAGTGACAGTTTTATGATGTACCCGCTGGCTAGTTGGTCTCTTCCAGGCATTTTTTGTCCAGTCAATGCTACGTCAGCTGTCTCATTCTCATGACTTTAGCTCAGTAATTATGTAGTTGGCTGCTAAGAGCAACTCCTCTCACACCTGCAAGGACCGAGCGTGGGAGTCAAGGATTCCTCCGAGAGATCTTGGTCATAAATGAACCTCAAGCATTTCCAGCCATCCAGTGCAGGTGCCTGGGATAGAAAACAATTCTGGAATGGGGTCCTGGGATTCTCATTGTCTCTTATAAACAGATTTAGGAACCACCTACAAGAATTCATATGAAAGAGGATCAAGTCACTGTGTCATTTTTGTTTGTAAAACTTTTCCAACTTACTATCATTTACTTAACCTATTTTTATCATCTTGGTCTCAATTACAAATTTGTTATAACTAGAAACGATGTCTGGGAGTCGGCACATAGAGCACCTGTCTCGATGCTAATGAATAACTCTGAGAGGTAAGTAACTGGGGATTCATTATTCACATGGAATGGGTTTGTGTGTGTCTGAAGAATGTTCAAAGCATGATGGGGCACAAACTGAATGAACAATCATATCTGGGAAATATTATCTCAGGAGAATCAAACCATAATATTTTAGAGTTAGAATAGTTCTGGATGTTGAGAGGAAAGCATACAAACTTAATCAAATTTCTTACGAACGTGCATTTTTTATCAAGGTATACATTAAATTATATTGTAGGGGTTGGCATAATTCTAAAGCAGGCTATTCCCATGCCTATAATACTGGCACCCCAGATGGATGTCAGTTTGTGTCCCAGCTGCTCAACTTCCAAACTAGTTCTCTGCATTAATGGCCTGGAAACGCAGTGGAGTGTGGCCCCACACCCACATGGGAGACCCAGAAGAAGCTCCTGGATTCCAGCTTTGGACCAGCTTTGCTCTGGTCATTTGGGGAGTGAACAAGCAGATGGAAGACATGTCTTCTGTAACTCTTTCAAGTTAAAAAAATTGGTCAGAATAAAAAAAGCTAAAGTATGTTTCATTTTTTCCCCTACCATTTAGCATCCCCTTAAAATGACATTTTTTCCCCCTGTATTTAATCTTTTATCAACAGCAAACTTCAGGAAGCTAGAATTCTCTATTAGATATCATCCCACCTTTTGCACCAGCACTCTTCACTGCTATTCCAGCAGTTGAACACAATTCATTATAGGACACATTATATAGGGCATACAGACAAGGGCAGTGCCCCTTCGGACACCAAAACCTGTCGTCCATAGTTTCCAGATCATCAGAGAACAAGCACAGGGTTGATTATCTGGAAAAACACCCCTGAAAAGTCAACATGGTTTTGGAGGATCATGTAAGTAAAAGTGATTTCATGAATATTGAAAATTTCTGGATAGGGTACTCCTGCGTCAGGGAAAAATGGATGTCTGCATTTCGAAAATAAACAGAACAATAACAAAATTCTACAATTTGCATGCCATCCCCTCCCTTTCCTAAATGTATTTTCGCAAGGAGCTTTATGCCTGAGTATTTCTCATAGATTGGACCTCTGACAAGTCCCAAAGGACTTGTACCACTGGGGTTACAGCCAAATCTGCTCTGCAATAAGTACAAATCTCTTAAACTTCCTGAATGCAAACAAGTGAATGCTACACATCTGTAAAAATAAGCAATTTATCTGACATTATAGAATATAACTTAGGAAAAAATAAAAAAGTGAGCTTGGAATTTCATATTGCCACTACACTGTGACTTAAGGACTATTTTCAACAGAAGATACTCCAAGTTGTGCCTTCACTGTTGGAATTAACCAGATCAACTGAAAGTCAGGGCAGCTGTAATTTCACTCTACTTTCAAATCTGGGATCATATATATTCCCAAATAGTTATAAAATAAGAGGCTAAATAGGTTCCATGACTGCAACAAACTAAGAGGCTTCTGTAGAGCAAAAGAAACAATCAACAAGTAAAGAAAGCAACCCACAGAATGGGAGATCTTTGCACACTACATAGGAAATAAGGGACTAATCTTCAGAATATACAAAGGTTTCCAGAACAACAACAACAAAGCAGACAAATCACTCAAGAAATGGGCATGGGAAATGGACAGACATTTACAAAGGAACAATCCAAATGGCAAAAAAGGCATGAAAAAACACTCAAGCTCCCTGGCAATCAAGGAAATACAAATTAAGACATCAATGAGGTACCACCTAATGCCAGTAAGAATAGCTCACATACGAAAAACTACCAATAAGTCTTACTGGCAAGGATGCGGGGTAAAGGGAACTCTACTTCACTGCTGGTGGGATTGAAGGCCGGCACAGCCTCTGGAAATCAGTATGGAGAACACTTAAACGACTGAAAAATCTGCATACCACATGATCCAGCAATAGCACTTCTAGGAATATATCCAAAACACCTGTTACACCAGAAACCAACATGCACCCCTATGTTCATTGCAGCACAATCAGTAATTGCAAAAACTTGGAAGCAACCAAAATGCCCATCAACAGAAGACTGGATAAGAAAGTTATGGTTAATCTACTCCATGGAATACTACTCAGCTATAAAAAAAATGAGCCCAACCTGAAATCATTATGCTAAGGGAAATGAGCCAATCCCAAAAGGTTAGATAAAACATGTTTGTCTTAATTTAACATGAAATGTCAATCTGAAAAATAGCACCTGTAAATTGTAATATTATTTCAACCTCAAACAGCCTGTATCACATGCAATAAGATATTGTGATGTAATTAATGAACCAAAAATCAATGGGAGTCAGACTGCTTACGATCCACATCAAAGAACTGTAAAACCTAATATACTTTTAATTCTCTATGTTATTCCATAATGGGTCAGGAGAGCAGAGAAATCTTCCACCTTCTCAGAGTGTGTGAGGAAAATGTTAAGTATAACCTATCAAGAATATAGCAGGCAACTTACAGACAGCAGACTGGAATCTGCATTAGACATTAGCAAAAACTATAAAGATATACAGTGGGATCCAAGAGCGATCCTGACAGCCTCTTAACAGAAGGTCATATGTGGAGTGGGGGGTACCCCAGAGTGGAGCAAGAAGACAGGAAGAG